CAGGGGATGATGATGCTCAGTCGTTTATTCCTGAAGCAACCCAACAGGAGGAATTTTCTTGGAAGTCTGTGATTCTTCCGTACGTCTCTCGATCAAATTTTCTATGCCTCTGTGTGTTTTTCTTATGCTTTGAGTAATGTAAATAGGTAATCTTGTTTTAGCTTCTTTGTTTTTCTGATGAAACGATATTGTAAACTATTCCAGTTACGGGTCGAACTTGGGTGCAAGGGGTTGAGTACACTTGCCTTCGCCAACTGGCTTAACCCACATATGCGATCTTTTTTTAGCTTTAATTCTTCATAGTTGATAATTATGCAATGGGGTTTGCATTTCGATTTTGTAAAGCCACATTGTATGGCAGAAGTTGGGTTTTTCTAGTACATGTTTTGAGGACCTGAATTGGGCTTTAATCAAGCATATGAAAAGTTGAGTGCTTTTCAAAGTGCAGATCAAGCAATGAGTAGTGGTTAAATTGCAAGTTTCGAAGTTGACTTTTGAAAACCTCTCTTTTGTTGGTAATTTTATTTTTTATAACTAAGCTCTTGGAATTTTAGCTTTGTGTTTCCAGCTTTGGGAGGTTTGTTGTTCGGATATGACATTGGTGCTACTTCTGGTGCTACCCTCTCTTTACAGGTATACCTTCAGCTTTATGTTTTTCGTTTTTTGTTTTGATGATTAGTAATTTAATATGATCAACTTTTATGTTTTGATTTGTCACAGTCACCCGAGCTTAGTGGCACTGCTTGGTTTAATCTTTCAGCCATCCAGCTTGGTCTTGTGGTATGATTTATCGAATCTTAGTCAATTTGGTTTTGAGTCATTTCCAAACTTGTGATCTGTCTGCCAAAAATCACCAACAATACATCAACAATCCTAAATTGCGTTGTTTCGATGCAGGTTAGCGGTTCCCTATATGGAGCTCTTTTTGGTTCCCTCCTTGTCTACCCAATTGCTGATTTCCTTGGTGTGTACTTTGCTTTGCTTTTGCACTTCATCATGAGGTTTTGAGCTTGATCATTATTTTTGTTAGTCTTAAATTTTAATTGGCTTATGAAGGGAGGAGGAGGGAACTTATCACAGCAGCTGTACTTTATCTCCTTGGGGCCCTGATCACTGCAACTGCTCCGGGCCTTAGTGTTCTATTAGTCGGGCGTGTTTTATATGGGCTTGGTATTGGAATGGTAAGGTTCTGTGAAGTTGCTCTGTAGTTGCTCCAACCGAAAAAAAAAGAAGCTAGCTGCAAAACCAAAGGAGAATCTTCCCAGCATTCGTTTTGGTCGAGCTAGATAATATCATGATTGAGTGATGATGCTCTAGCCACTTTTTAAAACATTTCTTTTGGCAGGCCATGCATGGGGCTCCTCTCTATATTGCTGAAACGTGTCCGTCTCAAATTCGTGGAACTCTAATATCTTTGAAGGAGCTCTTCATAGTTCTGGGGATTCTGGTATTGTTCAAATAACATCTTTATGTTAATCTTTTTGTCATTCACTATCTCAGTGAAGTGAGATGTTCTGACATATGCACTCTTCGGCAGTTGGGTTATTTTGTGGGAAGCTTTGAGATTAATGCAGTTGGGGGCTGGCGTTACATGTATGGAATAAGTGCTTCCGTTGCTTTACTTATGGGAATAGGCATGTGGGTTCTCCCACCTTCTCCCCGCTGGTTGCTTCTCAGGGCGGCTCAAGGTAAAGGGCCTGTACAAGAATATAAAGAAAAAGCCATTGTTGCCTTGAGCAAGTTGAGAGGCCGGCCTCCTGGTGACAAAGTGTCTGAAAGGCAAATAGAAGAGACATATGTTTCTTTGAAGTCGTCCTATGCAGATCAGGAAGCTGAGGGGAGTTTGTTGGAGGTCTTTCAAGGCACAAGTTTGAAAGCCTTCATAATCGGTGGTGGTTTGGTCCTTTTTCAACAGGTGTTTTCCTCCTTGCTGCTATGAATTGAACCTGTCTTTTGTTTCTTTTGCTTTTATATTTTCAAAACATGTACTTGAGAGAATACTAAGAATAAGTAAGCCAATTTACTACCTTACATTGCAGATAACCGGACAACCAAGTGTACTGTATTATGCTGGTCCGATTCTTCAGGTAATTGATAATCAACTTCTTTTTCTTTATTTCATTTTTCATGTTAATTTTCCCAATGACGTGACATTCTTTGTAACTTTGTTACTAAAGACTGCAGGATTCTCTGCAGCCTCTGATGCTACCAGAGTATCAGTTGTAATCGGATTGTTTAAGGTGCGTATGTCGCATGGTGTTTTTCATCTTTAATTTTGATTGGAGGTAATCCTCTTTCTGGTGTGACTGTCCTTTGCTTCTGAATGTTCCTGCAGTTTCTGATGACGGGAGTAGCTGTCCTGAAAGTTGATGATCTCGGAAGAAGACCTTTGCTGATTGTAGGAGTCAGTGGACTTGTATGCATCCTAACTATTCAAAAATTTACTCATTCAATTTGATTCGTATTTTGTACTTTGTGAAATGTTGGTTGATAAAGAAGAGGATGGATGGCTTTATCTTTCTTTCTTCGGTTTACCACAGGCTCTTTCCTTATTTCTCCTTTCTGCTTACTACAAATTTCTCGGAGGATTCCCGCTTATTGCTGTAGCTTCTCTTCTTCTCTATGTCGGTTGCTACCAGGTAACAATATCTTTTTTGGGTTATTGGTATTCACTGCTCAATCTTCTTTTTAAAAATATAAATGAATCTCTCAAATAGCACAATAATGTTGTTTTCATCATGTAGAAAATACAAGCTTTCAAATACGATCTGTGAACTTCACTTATAGAAACAGGACGGCGTTTGCTATCCTATCCCTAATGACGTATTTTTCTTGTCTGACATGGAAGATTGTGCTCAAATGTCATTTCAGATATCGTTTGGTCCTATAAGTTGGCTCATGGTGTCAGAAATCTTCCCCCTTCGCACGAGAGGAAAGGGGATTAGTCTAGCAGTTCTTACCAACTTTGCTTCAAACGCGATTGTGACATTTGCATTCTCGCCGCTGAAGGTATACATGTGCCTCCTCCCCACATTATTTCCTCATTATGATGCCAATCTATTTCTTTCATAGTTCAGGCAGGTTTTCTGATATCTCGCAAAGTCTTTGAACTGGCTGGTGTAGAAGTGGTTCGTTAACATTTGCTAATTCTGCAGGAGGCGCTAGGAGCAGATAACCTTTTCATCCTCTTTGGTGCTATCGCCTTGTTGTCTCTTATCTTCGTCGTACTAATTGTCCCGGAAACCAAAGGCTTGACTTTGGAAGAAATAGAATCCAAACTCTCGAAATAGATGCTCAACCGATGGCCAAAACTACCGTTGTAAGTTCCCAACTAAACATGTATTGGCGAGTCTGACCTCGGTTGTTAGCGTCGCCTGGATGTTCACAAAGTCATGTAAATCTGCTCTAAAACCATGTACATTACTACATGCTCCCATTTTGATGAAACTCAAGCATAAGGTGAGTTGCAACTATTGAGTGATAGCTCGCAAATGACATTTCATTTGAAGAGCAAGTGGCGTATGATATGGCTTGAAAACTTTCGCGGCGGAAGAGCCAATGCCTCGATGAAGGGTGGTTGCTACTTGGACCCTTTGGTCCAGAACGCCTGGAACTGAAATGTTGAGCGTTCCAGTGTGTTATTAAGATGATTGAAACTTGGACGCATGTTTTAAGCTTGATGCATTTGGTTAGATTCCAAGTTTGACGTTCAAAACTCCAAATTCAAACTTCATGTTTAACTGAAGGTAACCTTGTGAAGTAAGCTTCGTGCTAGCAACTGTCGGATAGAAAGAGTGGTGCACGCATGTAATCGCCATCCTTACATGGGGGCAACGTTAGACTCGGGGCATGTTTGAGACTGTTTCTAGAAGAGTTTGAAAGTGTTTTCTGCCAATCAAAAGCGTTTTGACTATGTTTGGCAGGAAAATTTAAATATGCTGCTGGGTTCTAAGGGAGTATTTTGAAGAACCAAGGAGTTTTTTTAGGAAAGCATTCCAACTGTTTTTCTAGAAAGTATTTGGATTTTTTATATCCCGAATCAAAGTGTGAATGTCCCTTAGAAGCGTGGCATGCTCGTTTTGATCAGGAGCGGGGTGGACAACTTCAGCCGGTGCTTGCGTCTGCGGCGGCACCTTGTGAGTTGCAGTATGTTGTGGATCTGCCGCCTGCAGTAGTGCCTCGTTATCCACATTAAAAACGTAATTGATGAATTCAAGGAGATCCATTCTATCTTGTAATTATTCTCAAAAATATATCTAGCAAAAGAACCTATGGACATACATGTTTCTTACAAAAGCAGTAAAAAAATATGCACTAAATTTGAACGTCGTAGATCTTAGAAATATAGTAAACTTTGTATGGTCAATGGCAATGAAGGATTGTAAAGTATTACCTTCGTGCAAGGTGGACGAACTGTCACATGTTCGAAATGGAAGTAATTTTCGCACAACCTTTTTGGCTCATGCATACAATTTGCTTATACATGGCCTTTCAATTAAATAAATTGAAAGAAAATAAAAGGATAAAAATAAACAGAGATATAGGAGAAGAAAATGAGTGTCAAAGAATCATTTCCCCTTTCTAAACTCTAAAACCTATCATTTTGTATGGCTGAACATCACTGACGTGAAGTTTGCTTAATTCTTCCAAGTGAGTGCACCGTCAAGGTTTTAACTTTATCAAGTGCATTAGTTTTCATGACCATGAAGTTTGCTTAATTCTCCCAAGTGGTACACCCTCAAGGTTTTAACTTTATTAAGTGCATTATTTTCCAAGACAAGGGTCTCATAACCCAATCCATTTTAAGAGGTGAAGAAGCAAAAGCTTAAACCTGATCCTCTCAACGTTTGTGTATATTCTGCCATCTTCGAAAAGTAGGATGCGGACAAGTAGGATTATCCTCTATTGTCCACAGAGAGCCACCTGTCGCTCAGCCAATCCCGATTGTGTGGCCTTCAGGATTTTCACAACCACACCACACGTTTTATTACACACTGCTCCCACATTTAATCTTTAATATCTTATATACACCAATCACTACACTATCTGCTGCTTATTGCATTAACTTGTAGTTGCAGCTCACTCTCAGGACACCACTTTGATCCATGACCACCATGCACACAGTCTCGAGCGTCGGAACTGTTAACCGGACTCCGGTACGTTGTTATCCTGCCAATTTCTATTCTCATTTGTTTAAGTTTCTGTGTCAAATTTTTTTACATAAAAACAGTTTTTCGGGTAGTGATTTTACACTCACAGTTTCTACTTTTGTACTTCTCCGCTTGTTTTTTTTCCATTGATTCTTCTTTAATTTATTGACTCTGGCTAAAATCGAGGGATAAGTATAAAATGATTGTACAAAAGTTGCCATATCCATATTGTTTTTCTTTAACCTATTCCAGAAGGACCAGAACACCAAAATGGTTATTTTTGTTTGTCCATGTGATGCCTAAAACTCAAGCATCCTTCATTGGAGGTGATTTTTGTGCAACCCTTTTCTTCTCGCACATCCATGTTTATTTTTAGTATGTTAACTCAAGAATAGTGACATAAATAAACTTAGGTGTATAGAAAGAGAAAAGAAGTGCACGAAATCATCTCTTTTTTACTAATTTTATATATTTTTTACACGGGTTTTGCTCAAAGGTTAATCTAAATGTAAATCAGTGAAGTTTGTGATTCTATTTTGATGAACTTCCTAGTTTCTTGGTCCTAAAGTTATGTTATATTTGATCCAGGTGAGCCTGAACGGCTCCGGTTCCGGAAGCTCAGCCTTCTTGGGCACCACTTTGAAGAAAGCGACCTCAAGAGTCCCCTACCAGAAGATTGCATCTGCAGGCAAGTTAAAAATCAATGCGGAAGTCGACGAGAATAAGCAAACCAACAAGGACAGATGGAAAGGCCTTGCCTACGATATTTCCGATGACCAACAAGACATAACAAGAGGAAAGGGTTTGGTTGATTCTGTGTTCCAAGCTCCCCAGGGGAGTGGAACTCACTATGCTATCATGAGCTCATACGAATACATCAGTACCGGACTTCGAGAGTAAGCAAGAAAATGTTGAAACTAATTCCTATGCTTGGAGGTTGAATTTGTTTTGTAAAAGAGTTTTGATTTGTGTTTCAGGTACAACTTTGACAACAACATGGATGGGTTTTACATCGCTCCAGCTTTCATGGACAAGCTTGTGGTTCACATAACCAAAAACTTCATGAGCCTGCCTAACATTAAGGTACGTGTAACGCTACAAACACGAAAAACAAATTTTGAAACTTTGGATTTTAATTGATATGACTGTCTTATTTGTTCGTATTTGAGACATTTTGAAGCTTATTTATTTTCTATTGAGTATGAAGTAAGATATTGTCATGTTATCTGCCATGCAATTCACAGAAGTGACTAAAATTTGATAAATTTTTTGTTGCTTCTAGTAGTATTATTATTAACTTAACTTTCTCATGTTTTCCTAACGAGTAAGAAATAAGATATTATCATATGTCATCCACCATGCCGTGACAAAAATTAGAGAAATTTTTTGTTGATTTCTAGTAGTATAATTAGGTTAACTTTCGCAGTTAAACGTTGTTCTTTGATTGTTGGTTTTGATAGCTCAGATGGTTTCATTTGAATTTGTATCAGATTCCTCTCATTCTTGGTATATGGGGAGGAAAAGGTCAGGGAAAATCCTTCCAGTGTGAGCTTGTGTTTGCCAAGATGGGAATTACGTGAGTTCGTAAACTTTACCAAAGTTTTTTTTTAATGAATAATCACATAGAAATAAAGCAATATCTGCATCCATATTGCTTCCATCATTTTATTTTAGTTACCCTTGTGATCAAATTCCAGCCCCATCATGATGAGTGCTGGAGAATTAGAAAGCGGGAATGCAGGAGAGCCCGCGAAACTGATCAGGCAAAGGTACCGTGAGGCTGCAGATATCATCAGGAAAGGAAAAATGTGTGCCCTCTTCATCAATGATCTCGATGCAGGTGCCGGTAGGATGGGTGGAACCACACAGTACACTGTGAACAACCAGATGGTGAATGCTACCCTTATGAACATTGCTGATAACCCGACAAACGTGCAGCTTCCCGGTATGTACAACAAGGAGGAGAATCCTAGAGTCCCCATCATTGTCACTGGTAACGATTTCTCCACATTGTATGCCCCTCTCATTCGTGATGGTCGTATGGAGAAGTTCTACTGGGCTCCCACTAGGGACGACCGGATCGGTGTTTGCACCGGAATCTTCAAGCCTGATAATGTGTCCCAGGAAGATGTTGTCAAGATTGTTGACACATTCCCCGGTCAATCCATTGGTAAGTACACTTTTGTTGTAGTAATTTGGCATATAATTTATATTTCTTGAATAGTGTGATGTGATCAGTAAATAGGATACATATAACGTTACTCCGTTAAAGACTAGTCAAAAATAGGATCATGCTCACTTGTTATATTGCACACTGCAGATTTCTTCGGTGCCCTAAGGGCTCGAGTTTATGACGATGAAGTGAGGAAGTGGATTTCCGGTGTTGGAATTGACGGGATTGGGAAGAAGCTTGTGAACTCAAAAGAAGGTCCCCCGACTTTCGATCAACCTAAGATGACTCTGGAGAAGCTCCTTCACTACGGACAAATGCTTGTTCAGGAGCAGGACAATGTGAAGAGAGTCCAACTGGCTGACAAGTACTTGGCCGATGCAGCCCTTGGAGATGCAAACCAGGACTCCATTAACCGAGGAGAATTCTATGGTAAGCACTCCTTGTCTTGATAAGAAAATAACCCTAGAAGCACCAACTCATATCCGAACTTCTTTAAAATCTCAACTGATGTCACAACATTTTGTTCGTTAATATTTGGAGTCACTTTGAACCCCATTTATTTACAACCAGTAAATAACTACGTACCCGTTTTGTGCCCACATCAGTTGGGATAATAGTTGGTGTTCCTAGCTAGTACTACTCGTCTTAAGCTATCTCGATTGGAATAGTTTTGTTGAAGTGTTGCTTAACCACTGCATGCAGGAAAGGCAGCCCAACAAGTTAATGTACCAGTCCCAGAAGGCTGCACTGATAGAACAGCTGCAAACTTCAACCCAGCAGCAAGGAGTGACGACGGTAGCTGTCAGTACGAGTAATTGGAGCTGAAGAAAATAAATATTCTGTTTGCTGGGTTATTGATATTTTCTTTGTAATTTGCGCTTGTATTTCTATGGAAATTCTTGCAATTATTTCGTTTTAATTATTAAACAAGCTATTGATACTCCGGCTATTGAACAGTCGATAAGAACATAATGTTATGTTGTTGAGAATATGTTGTCATTGTCGCAAACAAAACTTCACAACATGTTATCAATACATTCATGACAGGATTGAGATAATATCGATGGACGTTCATTCCTGCACAGAGAACTTAGAACTTGTTTGGTTGGCCTCACTGAACTTAGAACTTGTAACCTATGTTTAGTAAAGGTGCCCTAATTTTTTTGCCCCCTCCGTTGATCTAGCACTAAATACACATCATCACTATTTTTACAGTCTTAACTTTTTCGTTCGATAGAGTACCAAATGAAGGGCAGTACTTAATCCAACTTAGGCCAATCCGATGGAATCCAGGGCAGTCCTAGGGAATTGTTTTGTGCAATCAACGGTTCATCAACGTACAAAAACCAAATAGAAGAGTGCGCGAGGAGAAAAAAAAAAAAGAATGCGGAATTCATTTCCCTTGTTTACACTTCACTTTGCTCTTTTGTGAGAATATTTTGACGAGATTATTCGGGGAATTTATGAATACATATTACTATTTAAGATTGTTCACAGGTATTCTGTGCAATTATTTCATGAAAAAAAAATTCAATTTCTGGAGCTGCAAAATTGGTTTTATTGGCAAAAATACAAAGCTTACACGAACATTGTAAAATGAATTTTGGGAAACACTTATTGATGCATAGAAACTTGTACAAAAATATTTAGAGGATTATTTCTTTATATCAACAGTTGAACTCCGCTTTTCAATTAGTCTGCAGTATTCTTCCCTTCTTTTCTTCCTCAATAGCTGCAATACATACAAGATCTCCGTGAGGACGTATCATTTAACCGAAAATACAAGATGAAATCTATACCCTTGTCACGTAAGAATTTGAACTGAATCACCGTTTATTCATCAATCTAATTGTTATAAGTTAGGGAAATGTTCTTACCAGATACTGCAGTGTATTTTGCTGCAGACTGTCAATTTGGACCATTGAACAAGTCGATCGATTTTTATTTATTTTAATATGCGAGGCTAGAATAACAGTTTGATTCAACAACATAACATGTCAAAGAGAACGTTAACATATAACTAATCTATAACTTAGCACTTTGTAGAGATAATAAAGAAGAAAGGTCATGGAATGCACCTTCATAAGCATTTGTTGAGACTGGAATGCGCGGGGATGAAGTCATCATGGCTGACTGTGAGTTTGGTGATGTGGCCACGGCTGATTGTGCGGTAGTGGTTTCGGATGGCTCCTCGTTCCAAAGCATGGAATTTATAGCCCCTTTCACCTTCCCCACCATGCCAACATCACCACCACCAGAAGCTTTCTTTGGACTCATTGCGTCGGATATCACTTGCGAAAGTGCTCTTTCATCTTCCCCTGGCTCAAATTTTTGAATCAAATACTCCTTTACAGAAACACCCTTATCCCATATTTGATCACTGTGCTTACCAGATTGTGGAGCTGCAGGGGCTGACAAAGGTTGTGGACCCTCTGAGGCTGCCAAGATTTGTGGAGTTGCCCGGGATGAAGAGTTCTGCAGAGCTGATGATGCTGAAACAGTGTGTGGAGCTTCCGGGGATTTATCTGAAGGAGTTGGGGCCGCAACAGCGAGGCCTACCTTTGAGGCAATGGCATGGGTTGCATTGGATACAGCAGCGGGGGCTGAAACAGTGAGCCCTTCTATCTTTGAGGCAATTGCGTATGTTGTATCTGATACCGTGGCATAGGCCGGTCCCAACTTCTCAGTCACAGTTTCAGCTATTGTTTTGTTAGGACTTGAAGTCTTTGCAATTTCAGTTGACTTGCTAGGACTATCTGCAGGTTTCGTGGCCACAGTTCCAGTGACTGCCTCTTTAGGGCTACAAGGTTTTGTGGCCACAGTTCCGGTGATTACCTCTCTAGGACTAAGAGGCTTCGTGCATGCAATTTTGGTCACTGTCTTGTTAGGACTAGGAGGCTTCTCCTTATCGTGTTCAAATCCCGGAGTGACACTACTTGGCAAAACATGCTTCTCAGAAATCACAGGAACTGCTCGGGGTTGCAGCTTTGCAGTTTCCTTGTATCCTTCAGGTGCCATCTCTGATTCGTACACTGTAAATAAAATGAAACTTATTAACGAAAACAAATTGAACATTTGGAAGGCACAAAGAGGTTTGCACTAACTCTTCAAAAACAAGCACATAAATTTTTGGTACAAAGATGCTATACATAATGAAATCTTGAAGAAACTTATTATTACTTGGGGCTCCTAGATATTCAGCATCTTGCTCTTCATCTTCGTGCTCAACTGGGCTTGCACCCCAAGTGGGGGTGGAGTTATCGCCTTCACTGTGCTTTTTCTTGTTGCTGAGTGAGTGCTTCAGCTTCTTGGCCTTCTCTTTCACCTTGGTGAGAACAGATTTCTTGTGATGGTGTCCATGATCTTCTTCTCCATCATGGTGCCCGACCGGAGATGATGATGATGTTGACGAGGGTGAGGATGTCGACCTCAAAACTTCACCCCCTGGACATAAAAATAAAATTTAAAAAAAAAAATCAGTTAGAAGTAAATGTATAATCAAGGCATACAACTTCCATGCCTTTGGGACTCTCTCTACCTAACTTCCCTATCACCGGCTGAACGGTGTTTTATCTCTCACATCACATGAATAGCCATGCAGTGTGAGAGATAGAAATATAAGTGTATAAAACCGGTTACGAGATTCAATGGTGGTGGAGAAAGTTACAGTAAGACGGCATCAGATACCTCGAAGATATTGTTCCATAGTCGGGCTTTGAGTGGCCGTAAGTTTTCTCGGCTCGTGGATGATAGTAGATTCCGAGTCACCGTGTCGTTGGGGGCGTTCAAGTTGAGCCATTGCTGCTTTCCGGTTCACAATTCAGGGTCCTTAGACTTACCTCCGTTGTTGAGACAACTCCGATATTTGTATGGATTTATTGCATTTTCTTCCGGGGTTCTTGACTTCACAACGAACGCGATCCACAGGTCAATTTGGTTAATTTGTTTGTGGGCTCCGTTTCGACTCGTGGCATGAGAAGCTTCTAAGTTTAGCTTCCTACTTGCAGCTCAGGAATGGTTATTTCCTGAAATAGCAGTTGACTAGGCCACCAGCAGCAACCATCTTCCTCTTCCTCTGCCTTGTGTCTTGCGACTGTATTGGTCTTGCAAGAGAAACCTGCAACTGCTTTCCACAATACATGAATTTTCTTCTTTTAGGATGTTTAAAAAATAAAAAAATAAAAATTTATCGGTCTCCTTTTGTCAAACTAAGTGTAATAACGGTAGTGCTATCTACACACCCAATTTTACTTCTCACACCCTTCTTGATCTTTGGCCGTCAGATTAAATGAATTGAGAAGACCAACAACAACAACAACAAAGTCTTTTCCCACTAAGTGGGGTCGGCTGTATGAATCCTAGAATGCCACTGCGATCGGTTTTGTGTTAAGTCTTTCGTTAGCTCCAAATACTCTGTATTTTCTAACATTAAGGGGTTGAAAATGGCATGGGAGTTTGATGCCAGTGCATTGATGTGGATTGTGATTCCTTAGCACGCCTTGTCAACCAAAAAAAAAAAGACCTTACTACGTTGACTCAAATCCAACTGTAACCGGGAGTTTTTCTTATTCCTCTATCATACATGAGCTTCCTTACTCCTGCTGCATCATCCCAGTAGCCTCTTGTCAGCAACATGTTCGACAGGAGTATGTAAGTTGCGGGATCATTTGGGGACAGTTCCTGAAGCTTTTGTGCCGAACGAAGAGCGATTTCCTTATTTCCATGAACTTGGCAAGCACTAAGTAGAGCTTTGTACACTGATGGTCCCGCCTCGATTGGCATGTTATCGACAAAGGCTTGTGCTTCATGAAGATTTCCAGCTCGACCGAAAAGGTCAACAACTGTTGCATAATGCTCCATTTTCGGGGGTGCACAAAAATCATCATTTCTCATCAGATTGAAATACTCGAATCCTTTGTCCACTAAACCAACATGGCTACAAGCAGTTAGTACAATAAGGAAGGCGGTACTATCTGGTTTGACATCTGTTCGTCTCATTTCCTCAAACAGTTCAACAGCCTCCAACCCAAATCCATGATGAGCATAACCTGATAATAATGAATTCCAGGAGATGACATCATGTTCGTTCATCAAATTAAACACTCGCTTCGAATCATGGATGGCACCGCATCTTGCGTACATTGAAACAAGCCCATTCTGAACACATAAATTTGAAGCATGCCCACTCTTGAAAATGAGAGCATGGATTTTCTGTCCCTCTTCAAGGGCTGAAAGAGTTCCTACCGCGCTTAAAATGCTTGCAAATGTGAAGAAGTTCATAGAAACTCCGGCCTGCCTCATTTCAGAGAAACACTGCAGAGCTTCCTCACTGTTTCCAATATTAGAAAAACCAGCGATTACTCCATTCCATGAGATTTGATCCCATACTGCAACGCACGAGCAAAGCTTTTGAAAGTCTTCCAAGCTATTGCAACATTCTGAATATACGGTCATAAGTGTAACCACTATATACACATTAAACTCAAAACCTTCTTTCATTATCCGGCAATGGATTTGCCTGCAATGATTCCAAAAGTCTGGGCTCGAAAATGAACTCAACAAGCTATTATAAGTTACATAATTTGGTTTGTGACCCGAATGCAACATTTCCCTCGCTAAAATCATCGCCTCGTTGGATTGTCCATTCTGTGCATAACCAGTAACCATGGAAGTCCAAGTTATAACATTCTTTTCTGGCATTTCATTAAACACACGCCTTGATTCGTTAACACTACAACACTTCGAATACATATCTATCAATCCAGTTCCCACAACAACATTGCAGCAAATCCCCATTTTCATGCTCAAACTATGCACCTGAGCCCCAAGCTCTTCAGCTTCTAGCTGTGAGCAACCCACCAAGACCCCCGAAAGACTGAACGGCGTTGGCACTATCCCCACTTTCAACATCTCCAGAAACAACCCAACTGCCCTTTTTGGCAACTCAGCTTGCAAATAACCAGAAATCAGAGAATTCCAAGTCACAACATTTCTCTCGGGCATTTCATCAAACAGTATCTGAGCATTCAGCAACGAACCGCATTTGCCATACATATCAACGAGAGCACTGGATATATAGACGTTAGAACGAAAACCCAACTTGATAGAAAATGCGTGAATCTTAATGCCCAGATCCAAAGAAGCCGACTTTGCGCAAGAAGATACGATTTTGTTGAGGGTTTGAGGGGAAAGTGAAGACCCACCCTGTTGCAACTGAGCCAGCAGCCCCAAACCAAACGGCTTTGCAAGCTTCTGGGTCACTGCCATGGCGGAGATGTTGGGTTGTCATACGCGCGGGAAACTACTCCAATGGCTGCGTTTGTTGCTCTCTTTGGGGTGAACCGCGGTAAGGGAAGTGGCCGATGGATTTTCCCATCGTTTTTTTGTTTAGCCTTGAAGCAGTTCCTGCAATTGTGTAATTTGAGAACAAATTAATTATAATTTGTCAAAATGCCCCATTAACTATACAAAAGTATCAATTTGCCCTTGATTAGTTAGTAAATTCGCATATAATATACATATTTTACACATATCTCTTATTAAAAATATATTTCTATTTTCATATCTTTTAATATTTTGTTAAATTGCGCATTTTCTATAACTTCAAAGTACTTATATACATTTAATACACGTTATTTTGACACCTTTTCAATAAAATATTTAAAATTATGTTTTTATATGTATTTTTAACATATTATTGAGAAAATAAAAATGAAATAAATTTAAAATAAAATTTTAAAAAATGGCCAATTTTCAAAATATTGATTTAGCAAAGTTGCGATAATACATGTACGTATTTTTCATGTGTCGCTGTATCAGTAGTACAAATAGGGATTTTCCCTCTCAATATCACTCATGATTTTAGACCAAATTAAGAGGAAAATGTGGAAGAATAACATAGATAAACAAACAAGTAAAAACAAACAAACAAACAAGTAAGCCAAACCAAGCATTGGAGATCTCGTCCCAACTCTAATTTGACCAAAAGGGCAAAGAAATACCAACCAAAATCAAAATTATTGAAAATTCTATAGCACATGTATTTTCATAAGTGAATGGTTGATATTTAACTAAATTTCTCTAATTGAAATTCAGGTAAATCTTAACCGTTCAGACATGAAAAAAAAAGTGCAAAGCTCCCAAATTTTTTTGCTTACTTTGAGCAGTTTGATAATTATTTTATTTTCAATTTTTATCAACCGATTCAGTCACTAACTCGGAAACTAGTGACCGAGTCAACTCGTCCTCAACCACGCAGAAGTCCAAAATTCCAAACCCAATAAACCCCTATTTCCTTACGAGAGAGAGTGGCCTTATCTCTTCTGGTCTTTCTTCCGCTGCTGCATCCCACAACACAATGTTCGCAGCGGCGCCCTCCTCCGCCTACCTCAACCCCAAGCCCACCATCCTCCCCTCTTCCTCCCGCACCCTAGCCCCGCCGCTCACAGCCGCCACTGCCTCTAACAGCCGCCGACCAGTCGTCAAATGCCACCTGTCTTCGAATTCTCCCTCTCCCCTTTCCCAAAACCCTAAACCCTCCTCCACTCCCCTCAAAACCCTCTCCAAAGCCCTTGCCGCCGCCTCCACCGTCACCATCATCTTCAATTGGCGATCTTTTGCTGGGAATGGTAATTCCGGCGGTGGCGGAGGTGGATTCGGCGGCGGAGGCGGAGGTGGAGGGGGAGATGGGTTCGGCGGCGGGGAAGATGGGTTTGGTAGGTTTTTGAAGAGGCTGTTGTTTGGGTCGCAGACGGCCATGGCGGACGAGCCACAGTCCCAAGAGTGGGATTCGCATGGGTTACCGGCCAACATTGTTGTCCAGCTCAACAAGCTCAGTGGGTTCAAGAAATACAAGGTCTCCGAGATCTTGTTCTTCGATCGGCGGCGGTGGAGCACCGTCGGCACCGAAGACTCGTTCTTCGAAATGGTATCCCTGAGACCTGGCGGCATTTACACCAAAGCCCAGTTGCAGAAGGAGCTCGAGAACTTAGCCAATTGCGGGATGTTCGAGAAGGTCGATTTGGAAGGGAAGACCAACCCAGATGGGACTCTGGGCGTGACGATTTCGTTTACAGAGAGCACATGGCAGTCGGCCGACAAGTTCCGATGCATCAATGTGGGTCTGATGGCGCAGTCGAAGCCAATCGAAATGGACCCGGATATGACCGAGAAGGAAAAGCTCGAGTATTTTCGGAACCAGGAGAAGGATTACAAGAGAAGGATTGATAGGGCGAGGCCGTGTTTGCTGCCGGCGCCTGTGCAGAGGGAGGTGTTGCTGATGTTGAGAGAACAAGGGAAGGTGAGCGCAAGGCTGTTGCAGAAGATTCGAGACCGGGTTCAGAAGTGGTACCAGGATGAAGGGTATGCTTGTGCACAGGTTGTGAATTTTGGGAATTTGAATACCAAGGAGGTGGTTTGTGAGGTTGTGGAAGGGGATATCACTCAGCTGCATATTCAGTTCCAGGACAAGCTGGGGAATTTCGTCGAAGGGAACACACAGATCCCCGTGGTGAAGAGGGAATTGCCTAGGCAGGTACTTACATCATCCGTTAAACGAAATGACTTGCTTATATCTTTAATGGGTTTTTGGTTGTTTGTTGAATTGCATTTTGGGTTACATAATTTAGTTATTGGATTAGTGACTAAAGATATATATTGTTTGTTTCTTAAGTTCTATGCATGTTTACCAACTTGCAATGGTATGATTTTATTGACTCGTTGAACTCCTTGCTGAATGTTAGCTTCGCCCGGGTTATGTTTTCAACATAGAAGCAGGGAAACAAGCTCTGAGGAACATAAATTCCCTAGCTTTGTTTTCAAACATTGAAGTGAACCCACGGCCTGATGAGAAGAATGAAGGAGGTATAATTGTTGAAATAAAGCTTAAAGAACTAGAACAGAAGACAGCTGAACTTAACACGGAATGGAACATTGTTCCTGGACGCGGAGGTTATCCGACTCTGGTATGTGTAAAGTTATCTCTTTGCTCTGCTCATCTACCATGAAAATTTTGGAGGTTTGAATCATGTAATTCTTATTGTATGGTATTGTATGTTGTGTGTATAGGCTTCGCTAGAGCCTGGTGGCACTGTTACATTTGAACATCGGAATCTCGGTGGCCTGAATAGATCTATTCTCGGGTCAATAACCACCAGCAACTTCTTGAATCCTCAGGTAATCTTGCCTTGCCAAGAGTAAACCCATCCTTGTATGTAAGTTAACTGATGGTTTTAATACCTTTGCATAAATTCTGCTACCATGTATTTTCTGTGGTTATCTTTTCTCAGGATGATCTTGCTTTCAAGCTTGAGTATGTGCATCCATATCTGGATGGTGTGTACAATCCCCGCAATCGTGCTCTCCGTGTAAGCTGCTTCAACAGCCGAAAACTAAGTCCAGTCTTTACTGGTGGGCCAGGGGCCGATGAAGTACCACCTATTTGGGTTGATCGAGCTGGAGTTAAGGCTAATATAACAGAGGTGCTTCTTATCATTTTTCTTAATGTTTAATTCATGTAGTCCTTTATAATTTATTCAACAGAGGTACTTGTTGTCTTTACGTTTTCATTGCTTTACCTAACTTGATTGTCTGTGCCTACCAGAATTTCACCCGTCAGAGCAAATTCACCTATGGACTTGTAGTGGAAGAGATAACCACGCGTGATGAACGCAGTCATGTCTGTTCTAATGGCCAAAGAGTGTTGCCAAATGGAGGAGTAAGTGAAGATGGACCTCCAACAACTCTCAGTGGTACAGGCATTGACCGCGTGGCATTTTTACAATCAAATATCACTCGGGATAACACTAAATTTGTGAATGGAGCTATAGTTGGTCAGAGGAATATGTTTCAGGTAACGTAATTTTCTTGTACCATATACCTTGCATTATACACTTACTTCTAACACTTGTATAGTTTTTAGAATAAGCGGGGGTTAGAAAGAAAAATATTTGTAAGGGGAAGCCATCCTCGTCAGCTTTATTAGATCTTTCTAGAATTATTAGTTTCAGGATCTTTTGGTCCTGGCCTGGATATAATTGGTGATAAATTGAAGAAAGCCACACTGAACCTGGGCAGGAGGGTTTTCATACGTGCATCGGGGTTGAATCATGTTTGTATATGTGGGTGCCTTGTATGTATTTTCACCTTGATGATATGTCGGATGACTGTCGCATACAATGTGAAGTTTAAACATTTAGTCATCCTTTTGAAACCACTATAGTACAAGGGTATGTGGATTTTGTTCAGTGTTTGAAATATACGGGTGTTTTTCTTTTTTTACCTTTTTACGCAACATGTTTGAGAGACTTTGCAAACTTGCATACTCTTTGTATGAATTGCAGGTTGACCAAGGTGTTGGCGTGGGCAGCAACTTTCCATTCTTCAACCGTCACCAGCTAACATTAACCAGATTTTTCCAGCTGAAGGAAGTCGAGGAAGGTGCTGGTAAACCACCACCGCCTGTCCTTGTACTTCACGGACACTATGGTGGCTGTATCGGAGACCTTCCAAGTTATGATACATTTACCCTTGGCGGTCCATATTCTGTGAGGGGTTACAACATGGGCGAGATAGGCGCAGCTAGAAACATCCTTGAGGTAGGAACTGCTTTTGAAACTTGTAACTCAGTCCTTGATATGATGTTGCTCCATATACATATGTAAGTTACGGTTTACGATTAGCTGATTTCTTTTCCCATTATTATCTCCAGCTTGCTGCTGAGCTACGGATACCTGTGAAAGGTACACATGTATATGCATTTGCAGAACACGGAAATGACCTAGGAACGTCCAAGGAAGTCAAGGGTAACCCAACAGAGGTATACAGGCGATTGGGTCACGGGTCAGCTTATGGTGTTGGCGTAAAGTTAGGTTTAGTAAGAGCTGAGTATGCAGTCGACCATAACTCCGGCACAGGTGCATTATTCTTCCGTTTTGGCGAGAGGTTTTGAGATGCGAGTAGTTTTTATCAGTTTGTTGATTTGGCCTTTAGTTTTTCGAAACAATAATGTTTTATCTATATGTCGGGATTCATTTCGCATGGTTTGAGAAGCGTAAATTCAAGTTGAGTGAGAATTGTTAGTTATGCTTGTATCTGACGCAGTTGCAACTAATAAGAGGCACAGGAGATTCAAGATTACTATTTTCAGTAATCTAAATCTGATTGCCATACAACCACTTGATTTTCATCACTCTCTCTCTCTCTCTCTCTCTCTCTCTCTCTCTCTCTCTCTCTCCATTTTTCGCCTTTACACTTCCGGTCTCCCTCTCCGGAATGATACACTCCAATCTCTCCCTTTTACCCTCTCTCGACGCTTGATTTCCGCGGAAATATGAACAAGGCTTCATCTTTGATGCTTCCAACAACGCATTGAAGTGAAGTCGTGTTTCAATGCCGCTCCCCCTATCGGTTTTGTTTTCCCTACCAGTTCCCTGTACCGGCACGCACAATAAGCTGCATTTAATACATACGCGTTGAGTATGCTTGTCGCACAAGAAACACTTATTGTTCAAATGGTGTTGCAAACGAAAACAACTCCATTTGATTCTCATCCATCTTTGTTGATTGTTTTACATGATATAATCTCATCACAAGCTCCAAACAGAAGCCCTAAAGTCTCTAAACACTACGGACTCGAATCGTGCTCTATATCAACTATACCCTTTGATGAAGTAACTTGACTTCGAAAAACAAAAACGAAGTAATTTCCCAAAGTTTTAGTTGGGAATCGCAATCCTTCCATCGGTGTGGTTCAGCGTGCGCATCTTCATTTCCACCTTTACACTTCCAGTCTCCCTCTACCATACAACAAACACCCCATCGATCGATCTCTCCTTTTTCCTTCTCTCAACTTTTGCTTTCCACTAAAGTGCAGTAATATGAATAAGGCTTCACCTTCGATGCTTCCAACAAACCATTGACGTGGTGAAGCCGTGTTTCTGTGCTACAATCCCAATTCCTTTTTTAACTGAGCAAGAGTAGCTTCTATCTCATCGATATTATCCTCGATGCTGCTCTCCTTAACAGCTTTGTCTTGACCAACATTTTCTGTTCTCTGTTTCCCAGAGCTGCCTTCATCATTGTTATTTGCTCCATCTTCTGGATCCGTTATGTTTAGTTCTTTCTCGAGAAATTCCACAAATTCTTCTCCAATCTCCTGCAAAGTGTAAATACAGACGATAAGTGAGGTTTCCTTGGTAAACATTCTCATTGAATCACTAGTATCTGTGAGCCATAATTCTACATGGCGATGAAGATGGTTTAACTGAATTGCTTTTTCAGGCAGGTAGTGGGAACTTAAGGTAATCTCACCCCCAATTCCTCCCATAGACTCTTTGGCTTTCCCTGTGACGAAGCACTTGCTTCCCAGTTCTTGAATTCTTCTTGGATATCTTTAAAGAAGTCCTCTGCAATACCGAAAAAGACTTATGACACTGCTATAATAACAACTGCAATAAAACGGATACAAAAACGGATGCTCGCTGAGATTTGAGGACAATGCAACGCAAACATTATGGCCTGTATGATGTCTCACAGAGAGGACAAATCTACCTATTGTTATTTGAACATCCCTCAAAAAATGACCTGCACAATGAAGGGCTTAAGAATAAGAACATGCTAAAATATACCTAAATATAGATTGGTCCAATCTTGTCTTTTGGTCTATCTTAGACACACTCAGCAGTGTCCGAAGACAACAGTTATACGGATAATCAGTTGAAATTTGAACGGTGAACAGGACCAAAATATCCTTCTAGTGAAGGCCCGATTAACTGCATGTTGCATTCTTACTTGTCAAAAAAGTAAAACAAAATTTTGATGGCTGATACTGCCGTGTCACAGGCAGCATGACATCGTCCTATGGATTATCAGACATGCTTCGAGAAAAACATATTTAGCATTGGACTATATTGATTCATAGTGAAAGAAGTTCTGTAAAACGGTAGAGAGTCCATGTGCAAGTTTACTAGGTTCTTACCAAATCCGTAAAACTCTTCTTCATCTTGAGACTTCTTGCTCTGGTTTCTTTGAGAAGAGGAATAGGAATAGTCAGATCCAAAATTAGAGTCGTATTTTCCCCGAGATTTAGAACTCAGCAATGTATTGTAGGCATGCTTAATCCGCATAAATTTCTCCTGCGCATTTGCCTGTACAAACACAGAAGTTAGCACTAGTGAAACCATTGCTAAGCACTCTAGATAGAAGGGATGAGCTAAAAAACAGATTCAAAACATATCCACTACACCACCAGGCAATGCAAACTACAAAGGGAAGCAATTGGAGATTTGGAAGAGCGTAAATCGCACTTCACAGTTTAGCACACAACATAATGTGCCTACACAGTTGGCTTGGTGCCACAAATCACAAAATACGATTCAGGTAGCAGCATATCCTAGGATCATCTGTTTGAAGTTAGGTGGAATCATTTCGAGATTGTTGTCTACACAGTCTGTTAGAATAGAATCCTTAACACCAGAATCTTCTCCGTAGTTATTGTTCTACATGGTATCAGCTAAAAATCGGTCCAAGGGTTCAAGGAGTCATAATTCAACACAATCCCTCCCAATGAGAGAACGTTCCTCTCACAATAAGCCTGCGGTTTTCGCCCCGACAAGGCAACAAGGGTGATACACACAGAATGTGTCATTCTGCATAAATTTTCTCTAATCTAGAAACATCATAATACTCAGTTATGAAAGATCCTTAATTTCTCCAATTCGGTAACTAAAAAATAACATACTTAACTGTTTTCTGCAATTAGGTAACCAAAAAATAACATAGTTTATAACCAAACTCCAAAAAAAAAAATTGGAACTGCCTCCTCCAAAGAATTTGCATCCTTTAAACTTGGTAAGCAAAGATTAAAAAAAAAATCAAATTAAACACCGAAAAATTATATCATCAGGCAAATCAATTAGGGAAAAACAAAACTACCCAGAAATTGAAAACCTTTAATTTGCAGCTAAAGCAGTAGCAATTCCACAACTAGACAAAAAAGGTAAATTATGGGTTTGAATGCATAACCTGTTAATTACCTCTTTATTAACATCGGGGTGATACTTAAGAGCAAGTTTCCGGTAAGCCCTTTTGATCTCGACATCCGTTGCGGAAGGAGACACGCCCAGAACCTGGTAAGGAGACTCTCTGCGACTCGCTCTCAAGACGGTGGCAAAACGTCGCCGCTCCGGTTTCAAATTCAAGAAACTGGTTACGGGTTTCGATGCGTGTCTGAAAATGGGTTTCGAAGATTTGGGTCGGGTTTGCAAGAAAAGCAGAGATCTTGAAGAAGAAGAAAAAGCGGAAGGAGGGAGGTTGAAGAAACAGAGGGTGCATGGAGGAGTTAGAGGCAGAAAAGCAAATCCATGCATTGTTCGTGGGGGTTTAATTTGTGACAAATTTGGTAATCACTTTCATGTCCCTGAGAAGATTGCGGTTGAGAAAATGCGGAGCTCTGGAAGTTGGGTTGTGCTTTCGTTGGTGGCTCTGTTTTGAGCTGCCAAAGTTCTGGAGACAAATGGATGGAAAGTAAATCGACGGCCAAGATTTTGGATCATTTGTTTGGAAAGTTTGATTTCATGTGGACCGACTCTTTCTATTTTGGGGATGGATTATTACAAACTAGATAAACGCCTTGTCCTCTAAAAAGTTGAAATGAGTAACATTTGGGATTTGGATCCTCTCCGGATCCCCTCCCTGGGATCCCGGGGATCAATGCACAAGAATCGTTTATCAAAGATCGTGCAGTCACGATTAAATAATTTTTTATATTTTTAATAGTAAAATAATCTCGTTTTACGTGAAAAGTATTTAATTGTGACTACATGATCTTTGATGAACGATCATTGTGCATTGATCCCAGAATCCCAGAGAGGATCCAAATCCTAACATTTGTTTTATTTTTCGACTTTACTCAGTGTAGGTTAGTACTTGTCTTTTTATCTTTTTGGGTGACAATTAGTTCTTTTTTTTGTCAAATAGAAATTTTCATTAATTTAAAAAACACTTACACAAAATATAAAGTTCAAGGCAATTCAAATACAAGCATAGTTTATAAGAAAATACAACAGAAAAGCCTAGAAAGAGCATGCCCACAACAACAAAAATCCTAAATGTGCTACCTCCACCATAGTAGCTATGCTATCATCGCCAATCCACCACTACCACCAAGAGAAAGAACCATGAACAAGCTAGATGAACAAAAAATGAGAGTGAGCGAGCCACCCACGTAAAAAGCGCTCCCATAATCCTACTAACCCACCAAAAAGTGTAAAAAAAACACTTTAACAACCACCTAACACCAAAATGTGCTGCCAAGAAGAGACACGATTGGCTGAGTGGCAAGGGTTAACGGTGGAGGAATGACGACAAGGAAAAGCAACGGAGGAAGAAGGGGGCATAAAAGTCTAGGTCTGAGACAAGCTCCGAAAATCTAGAAATTAAGCTGATGTAGTGTTCACTTCAATCTTAAACTTTGGCCAAAAATTACTTAACATGTACATGTACGGATGTAGCGTTCACTTCAATCTTTTGATATAACGGTGGTTTGGTTCTTTCCCGCGCTTTACGGTTGCTGCTCCAATGTTAATGCTCAGGTTCAAAGTCCAAGCACTCCCATCGGCTCAGCTGAGCAACCGCATCTTCCACCGTCCATTTCAATCCTCTCCCGATTTCTACACAAATCTGTTCGAAATCTACGCTCGTGACCGACAGTTGCACTCTGCAAGAGCACTCCACGCCCATTTGATCACCAATGGGTTGGCCAGTTTGACCCGTTTTGCCTCCAAGCTCATAGCTTTGTATGTTTCTTGTGGCCAAACAGTCCATGCCCGCAAACTGTTCGACAAAATTCCCCAGACGAATATCCGCCGCTGGTTTGCTCTCATCGGAGCCTGTGCTCGTTGTGGGTTTTATCAGCAGGCAATGGGTGTGTTCTGTGAGATGCAGAGAGAGGGTTTAAGGCCGAACAAGATTGTTATTCCCAGTGTTTTGAAAGCCTGTGGGCACCTCCCGGATGTTAAAACCGGTGAGAAACTTCACGCTGTGGTGCTCCGGTTCTCATTTGAATTTGATGTTTTCGTTAGTAGTGCTCTCGTTGATATGTACTCGAAGAACGGGTGTGTAGAGAAGGCGCATTGGGTGTTTGATATGATGGTGGAGAAAGATTTGGTGGCCTTGAATGCTATGGTTTCGGGGTTTGCTCAACACGGGTTGGCTAGAGAAGCATTGTGTTTGGTGGAGAAAATGCAGCTGGAGGGGATAAAGCCTAATTTGATAACTTGGAACAGTTTGGTTGCTGGGTTTTCGCAGAAGGGTGACGAAGCGATGGCGTCTAAGCTTTTTAAGATGATGCGCGATAATGGAATCGATCCTGATGTGGTATCTTGGACTTCAATTATATCCGGGGGTGTGCAGAATTTTCAGAACGATAAGGCTTTTCGAACATTTAAGCAAATGTTGGGTCATGGATTGTATCCAACTTCGAATACAATTAGTAGCCTCTTGCCTGCATGTGCGGGTGTGACAAATGTGAAGTCCGGAAAGGAGATTCATGCATACGCTTTGGTGATAGGAGTCGAACAAGATGTGTATGTTCGGAGTGCTCTTGTTGACATGTATGCAAAATGCGGATTCATATTTGAAGCAAGGGCATTGTTTTGTAAGATGTCTGAAAGGAACACGGTAACATGGAATTCGATGATTTTTGGATACGCGAATCATGGATATTGCAACGAAGCAATTGAGCTTTTCAACCAGATGAAGCTGGAAGACGATAAGAAACTCGATTACCTGACTTTCATAGCAGTTCTCACAGCTTGCTGTCATGCTGGAATGATTGAACTTGGAGAAAGCTTGTTCAATCTGATGCAGGAAGAGTATGGGATTGTGCCAAGACTGGAACATTATGCATGCATGGTTGATCTTCTAGGTCGAGCAGGGAAACTCACCGAGGCGTATGATATGATTAAGGCAATGCCGATGGAGCCCGATTTGTTCGTATGGGGAGCGTTATTAGGAGCATGTCGGAATCATGGGAATATAGATCTTGCTGAAGTAGCTGCAAAGCATTTGTCGGAGGTAGAGCCGGAGAGTGCAGGAAACAGTTTGCTACTGTCAAGTCTATATGCTGGTTCTGGCAATTGGGGGAACGTTGCAAGGTTGAAGAAAATGATGAAGAGAAACAAGTTGGGGAAACTTCCGGGGTGCAGTTGGATGGAAACCGCCTGATACATGAGGAGGCCTTTGAAGGAAGATTTTGAAGAAATTCCAAGGCAAGTCATCGAAATTAAAACCGCCGGAGGTCGTTTTAAGGATTCATCCGGGAATTGGATTGCAGGCTTCACTTCTAATCTTGGCATAAGAGAAGTTATTGTGCCAACAAATCTTCGTCCGCTTTTCGTTCTCACTCAACGCCATTTTTCTTCAGTGAATCGAAGTACGCTGCTGACGGTCTTGAAAACAAATACATGTTCTCACCCATGTTATAATCGCTCTACGCCACCGTTGGTAGGTATCTGCTATTTTGCTGCCGGTGTAAAGGCCGCCCGCTTTATCTGGTGAAGTCTCTGTGTAGTTATCTTTGAACAATCTGCAAATGATGAGTATAATCGTACAATAACATCAATTTCAAGTCCAAGAAGGAAAAAGATCATAACCTACACGTACAATACAAAGAATCCATGTACCCCGAATGAACTACAAGTACTGGTATGCGATAGATACCCGAGCTTTAACTGAGAGAAACAAAAGGTATTACAAAACGACAATTACGATACTACTATAGCAAAAGAGAGGAAGGTAGAATGTATCTGATCCACTGAGGTATAAGACATTTTCACCAAGTGTTTGCCCATGTTCTTTAGATCACCTACATCCATCCCTGTTCATCCTCTAGCTACAAAAAAATGGCAATTTGCTCTAGCAATACTAAAGAACGCACAAATAGCTCTTGCTGATTAGAAACGAACCTTACAAAGGGGCTTGTTCCCACAACAATCTGTACAGGGAAATCGTTGTTATAAAATTAATGCTATACCAAATGAAATTTGTAGTTACGTAAAGTCGTAAACACGAGGGAATATCCATACATGACAAAGGAGGTGAAAGGGTGATAAAAGCATTCAACCCAGGATTGAAGGACAGGTAACAGATAATTGCTATATCTTTATTGACTTCTTTCCATTGAATCTGGAAAGAAAAGGCTTAACACCTTTTTGATACAAAATGAATATACAAACTAAGAACAGATCAGGTATGTGTGCTCGATGCCTGGGTGTCAACAATGTAGACTAGGAACGGAGTATACATGTAATGAGGGAAGCCTTGCTACATTGGCTATTGATTCAAAACCCATATGCCTCTAAAGTGTCTCCACATTATTCCTAAGAACCCTTCCCGTGCCTGTCAGGTTCGGGATTACCAATCAAGCAAGCTTACAGGTTGAGTTCGAAGAGTTAGCTTTAACCAACTTGCTGAAACTTCTGAATCTACACAAAAACATACATTAAATAATTGGAAATTCCGCAGCAGTTATCAATAGTAAACTGCATCATAAGTAATGGTATTGACAACAAACCCCAAAGCTGCTATAATGCCTCGCTAAAGATATACAAGCCTTGAAGCTGTAACTCCATTACATAAACAACCATAATACGTATAGGATAAACGCTTATTTCTCAAACAATTGACAAATGAAATGGATGAGACCAAAACACGCCGAATGATATCAAATGAAAAACACCATTTCAAGCACAATGAAGTGCAAGGTATTACTTCAATCCTTCTCTTCCGAAAGGCATAAACTTAATTGCCGTGAGTCGACATTCTAAGTCCAGAAGGGTGTGGAAATGGATTTAAACTTCATTAAGGAAACTCTATCGCCATTCAAAACTTACGATGACAACCAAAACAAGGTACTGACTCCATTCTGCACCTGAAGATTATAACTTCGGGGCAAAAAGCTAGTCAGGAAGTGCCTAGTTCCCAATATGACCAGCTATTTTGGGTTTATAGCAGCAAATTCACTACGCATTTTCAAGAAGGGAAATGATTTCCGCACTACCATTTCTACTTTTACAGTCCTCCCTATGTTTTTGTCCCCTGATTCCCCTTGATTTATTCAATCCAGCTAGAGGGAGAAAAGGGGAGTGCGAAAATCATTTTTCTTTTAATCAAAACCCGTAGGTTTCAATTAATGAGGCCTAATATAATAAGGCAAACAACAACCAGTCAAATAAGATAAGCAAATGATACAACCAAATCCGCAAAGTGAACAAAATTCAGTGCATAAGCTCAAGAGAGTCACTCACCTCAACTTTAATGTGTAAAGATTTCTCATTTGTCATTCGAAGCAGTATGTTGGTACGAAACCATCGAACCCATGTTGTAACGGTGCGACTCGAACCCATGGTACCCACCGCCGTGACCCCCCGCACCGCCGGGCATGCTCATGTGCCCATGCCCCTGGCTCAACCCAAGAACCGGCATCTGCATCATCCCGGGAGGCGGGTACGGCATCGGAAACGAAAACTGCCCATTTCCGTGACCGTGGCTCTGCCCCGAACCCGCCGGACCGGACCCCCCGCCGCAGTCGCCGCCAGACTCGTGGTGCAAGCTCTGCGGGACAGGCGTGGTAGCGAAAAGCTGGTCCGACAAGGAGGGCCCCACGTCGCCGGATAACCCTTGCATCCTCTTCAAGTAGAGGCGGTACTTCTGCAAGTGGCTCGCGACATTTTCGCGGGTCAATCCCTCGACGTTCATCATCTGCATAATCGTCTTGGGCACCGCGTTCTTGATCCCCAGGTGGGCCACCACGTCCACGAACCGCTTGTGCAGCTGCGGGGTCCACACCAGCCGCGGCCGCTTCAGAGTCCGCGCTGACGTGTCTTCCGGCGATAAATTCTCGGTCCTCAGCGTCGAATCCGCCTCCTCTGTACTGCAATCGACCTTCCGCGACTTTCTCGAATCGGATCCGTACCGCTCGCCGCTCTCGTCCACCTCCACGATCATCGGCTCCACGTCGTCGCTGCGGTTCTCGTCGAACGACTTGTAGTTCGACGAGAAGCCCTGGGAGTGGGCGCCGCCGCGGAGCGTCGAGACCGTCTTCTGCGACGCGCGGTTGACGTCGACCGCCGTGCGGGAGGGCTCCGGCGAGATGCTGAAGGCCGAGGCTAATTCGATCGGAATCAACGGCTGAGATAAGGGAGTCAGGTCGTCGGCGCTCGGCAGCCCCGTCTCCCACTCGGAAACTCGCTCCTCGTCGTCTCCATCGTCGCCACCGCTGCCACCGCCTTCGTACTCACTCATCCTCACCTCCTCACCCATTGCAAACAGCTCAAGCTCTCTCTCTCTTTTTCTTTTTTTTAATTTTTCATTTTTTTGGTTGCTTTTTTTGGCTTTTTGTCATCGAATTGTTCGGGTCGGGATCGGATCGGATTGGGAGAAAAACGAAGACCAATTGAGAAGAAGAAGAAGTAGATTGGAGAATTCGGGAGATCCGGAGGACTGTTTGGCAAGTCCGAAAACGGGGGAAAATTATAGAAAGTTTTCTTCTCCTTTTTCCTATCCTTTTCTTTTTCTTTTTATTTTTTTCTGCGCTTTGGGGTAGAAAAAGTGCAATATCTGATTCCATCTCGCGCCGACGTGGACGACTTAGCCAGATATTTTTGATCTTCTAAATATCTCTTCCTTTTCTTTTACGGAAAAGGATCCTTTTATTAGGGATCCTAAAGATCCTGTGATCGAGATAGTTCATCGTACGGTCAAAAATTATTTTAAAATTTAAAATTTAATATAAATAGTACTAAACGAAAACTGACCATATGATATACAATGAACGGTCATGATCATGAGATTCTTAAGATCCCCAAGAAAATGATCCTAAGATCCGGCTGGGATCCTTTTCCTTCTTTTACTTCTTTACTTGTTGATAACTTTATAGGTTCAATATGGTCTACCGCCAACATCATAAATAATTTCAATTTAATCAATTACTATTATATATTGTGTTTTATCAAAAAAGATCTCGATAATATTAGGGTTAGAATATCTTTTATATGAGTTATATTATATTTTTGTCATACGTTCAGTGTGAAATCTATACTCCAACACGTCCCTCACAAATGACCATAAACAAGGGTTGCAAGGGAAAACATTTCTCACATTTGAAACTGATCAAGTTATTATATCGGAGCTAACACCAATTTTTTCGAGAGCTTGGTCGTCAGTTAGCATTCAATATCTAGAGCCAACACCAATCTTTTCGAAGCCCCTAGTCATTCAATAGCTTTAAGTTGAAGTTAGCGCATCTTTTCGAAAGTCCAACTTCTAGAAATATAACCCAACATGGTTCACCAACATTACTGATATTATCCTACCATAACAACCTTTTGCTAAGTGGAATACCTTTATTGATATTTTCCGTTTCATTAGATATTTTATCACAAAATGTCCTGATGATACCACTAAAACACACATTCATCAATCCCTACTCACTTGATCTATTGACACGTGTCATGATTGGCAATCGAACGGTGTGGTTTATCCTAAACTGAAATGACTGGAATGGCCTTGGCGTTTGAGGAAATGAGAGCCGTGTCGTGTGATAAGGCCAGGCAAGCAATGCTTTTATTGGGGCCTTTTGGTAATTGAGTATGAACAATTTGAAAAGAACCAACTTTGCAATTGGGTCCTTTTTGTATCTTTTTAAAATCCGGTGGACCAATGGGAAAGCAGAGATGTTGGTGAACAGCTGTACCGTTCGGTAAGTGTCGAGGTTGATGGTGATGACGGCATAACTTTACACGCACACGATTTCAATGCTTAATCGTACGGCCGGAATAAAACTACTAATAAGGAAATTATTCCCAAAATACGATTAAGAATTTTTACTCATGCATCCGGAGTTTTGATTAAATTTAAGTCGGGATTCGAGCAAAATGTGACTGGTTGAACTCCTAAATTAGGTTATATTGATAATTTGTCAACTTAAACAAAACTCATTCATTCGTAATCCAAGTTTGGGTTGAATTTTGGCAAAGTTAAGACTAATTACTGTTCAGAATGTGTTAAGTTGCTCTTCAACTTAGATGATTGTGAGCTGTTTATGCATAGCAACTCATATACATCATAATTCAGAGTCATTTATAAGCGCGTGATTAAGCACTTGAACACTTATATTACACTCCCAAGAGAATCTCCAAAAGCTCTTCAAATTTTTATAGATTTGAATTAGCTAGTTAATAGTACAAAACAACTATTTCAGTAAGCAAGTTATGTAAAACTCAAATTTTTATTTGAAAACATTGTGCTAGTCCATTGTCCAGGGATGGAGAGATTTTTCAATGTGATGAGAACATGATCCGGTACACTAAGTGTTATAATACAAGTAATCGAATTTAAAAAAAAAAAATCAATCACTTGAATTATGATAATAGGTGTACCAAACCGTATTTTCAACACGTTGAAAATTTTAAAGTTTTAAGCAAGATACGAGTCTATGACAGAATTTCCAATAGAAATTTTTCAGCAGCACATTTAGGGCTAGTTTGGTATTGCTGTGCTTTGAAAAAAAGCTGCTGTGAGAATAAGCGGCTGTGAAATAAAGCCAGTAGAGTGTTTGGTAAACTTTTTTGTGAAAGTGCTTTTGGAAAAAAAAGCAGGATGATAGTGTGTGTCTTTTCATTAAAGGAGCACTGTAGCTCCGTGTGCTTTGAAAAAACTGGCTTTTTTTCAAAGCAGCAAATAGCAGCTTCAGCTTTTCCTTTGATTTTCAGCTTATTCTCACAGCAGCTTCCAAAATAAGCCCTTTTTTTCAGTTTACCAAACACAAAAATGACCCTCAGTTTTTTTTCACAGTGGCTTTTTTTAAAATCACCTCAATCCCAAACGGGGCCTTACAATTGTGCCCCTCTCCCACATTTGATGAGAGGGCTGTTTGTGCCCCTGAACCAGAGAGAGAGAGGTGGTGGCAAATATCCATGGGTACCACATCCATAACTCTATCCCGACCACCATCAACTTTCTCCCATTTTCTCAGGCCAAACCATTCTCAATTCCTCAGAACAACCCAGAAACCATCCTTCCCCTTATCCTCCCCAACCACCACAACCAAACGGACCCTAATTTTCAACACCCCAGATGATAATCTCACCCAAAGAAGCACCCCAACTCGGCAAATCAGTGCCACCTCTGCTGAATCTGTGCCTGCAGAAGCCGCCGTCCCACTTGAGACTGCCCAGGAGATAGTGGCCTCTAGTGACGAAGGAGTGTCTGTCGCCATTTCTGCCCTTCTCTTCGTTGCCTTTGTTGGCCTGTCCATTCTCACCATTGGGGTAATATATAAACTCAAGAAACCAAGTTCTTTTTTTTTCAATTCCAGTTTGATGAAGTGACTAAATTTATAGTTTTGACAACTAATTTAGTCTCTCTAACATTATTCTTAGAGCAATCATCCCTCGCTCAATTGTAACTTTGATCCTTAAACTAAAAACTCATGAGTATTTGTCATTTTGACCAACTCTATTAGAACTCTTTATCTAGTTTTTCTCATTTCCAATTTTCTTTTGAAGTTCTACGAGTTAATAAAATGAATTTATGGTTTTGGAAAATGTTGGTTGCTTTGGATCACCATTGAGGTAATTTCAAAAAACCATGTTCCTTTTGTGATTCCAATTTGCTCAAGTGACTAAACGTATAGTTTTGGAAACAGGCTTTTACTAAATTAGGATCACCGTTGTTTTAAGTTACTAAATTCATGGTTTTTTCCCAGTAGTTTAGATGAATTTAGTTTAGATTATCTATCGTTTGTCAAAAAAAAAAAAAAAATCATGGTTTTGGAAACTTGGATTTTGCTAAATTTGGGTGGGTTTTATATGCAGGTGATCTACCTAGGTGTGACAGATTATCTGCAGAAGAGGGAGAGAGAGAAACTAGAGAAGGATGAGGCAGATAACAAGAAGAAGGGTGGGAAGAAGAAGAGGGTGAGAGCAAGAGCTGGGCCTAAAGGATTTGGCCAAAAGATTACTATTGATGAAGAAGATGATGACTGAACTGCAAGTGCTCTGATATGTATGATTTTCATTTTTTTTTTCCTATAGTAAGTCTCAAATTTGTAAGGGCGACCCCAAGCCAATAGGGCTTCCCACTTTGCGAGGGTCGGGGGAGGGAGAGGGAGGGAGGGGGAAACGTCTCTCGTATGCAGCCTTATCCTTATTTTGTAAAGAGGCGGTTTCAACGTCAGTCATAAAGGAGCAACCTTTGGTTGCATTAAGGCTTGCCCTCCAAATTTGTAAGTTTATGAAATTTTCAGTTGTTTTGTTGCCGACTTTCTTGCAGTTAGAAATAGTTTGAGTAATGAGAAAAGAGGCATTTATATTCCCATGAATGTAGGTTTCACATTTGTTGGCAAAACCGTAGTTGTGGTACAAATTTGTCAAACCGCTTGGTGTGGATTGAAGTCATTTTTCGAGTAATTTAAAATCTAGTGAGACCGTCCTCTTCCTAAACTGACACATCCGTAATACTAAAGACATATGCCGCAAGTCTGTAAACGTGAGTGACTGCTAGCCGCAGAGGCGCATGGATCCTTTGGTGGACTCTGTATGCATTTACGGCTCACGATCACTCACATTACCAAAATTGTATCAACCTGTAAGATTCCATCTTGTAATTTGCGGTGCATAATTTTTTTAGAGTGATAATAACAGCTCCGTACCAAAATCGTAACTAAATTTTTCCGCATCATCTCGGTTTCGATTTTTCAACACTTGGAGTAAGACAAATGAACGTTGCAAGAACAAAGTCAAAAGAGAATCCCTACATATGGAGAGTTGACTTGCTTATTCATTGATGTTGTTCTAATTTAATGACACGGGAAACACGAAAATTATAGTTTAAGTGAGCCTTCGAGTTTGGATAATTAGTACACGTGCGTGCATAGAAAACCAAGAATATACTTTTGGATATGCCCAACAAAAATATACAAAACAAAAAACAGAATAAACGCGTCGATATTATAATACAAAATTGCTATTAGCGCTCTAAAACAATCATCCAACACGTCTTCTTTTTTTTATTTTCGTTAAAGACGGCGATTGAATATAATATTTCAGAATGCCAATAGTAGTTTCATTATCATATAGATAAAAGTTTTGTAAACAAAAGACAAAACTTTGAAAAATAATCAAGGATTTCCATCAAATCAAAATTTAGTATGTTGCAATGGTCTCTCCCCAACCTGAAATCCTTCATCAACTTGAAAGCAATTTTTCAAAAACTACAAGTTTCCAGTGAACATCCAGAAAAAAACATCGAAGCGAATCCAGACCGGGCAGAAACACCCAAAATTCACAACAACATCGTGAGGAGGAGCTTGCTGTGGTGCGAAAATACGATTAAACAGCAAGTACACGAGATGTATAGCAATGAACATTATACTTCCATAGAAAAACTGAACTTTATGTGATCAAGGAAAAAACAGTCATTACCATACACTTAAAAAAACAGCGGCCTCGCCTCGCCTCGCCTAATCATGAACAGCTCTCCACAAGGCAACATTTGTACAGTCACGTCGACATAAACTTTAACTACCTCACCATTTATCATTTTTACACCCTTAAAAAACTTGTATTGTCATTTATCTCCTCTGCGCGGGGGGATCAGGTGTGTGCAACATCTGAACCACAGCTAGCTTCGACTCTACGTATGAACTTTAAAACTACACAATGTACAGTTTTCCAGTACAAGCAACAACTTTATTTTTCAAACCGCCTCGTACCTGTCATTGGAAGGATAGGCAGAGTCGGTCGTAGCTCTAGATGCGATGGAGAGAGATGACAACCAAGGGAGGGAAAACACACGCTAGCCTCAGTTAGCTGTACATACAACTTTCTTTTCCTACACCGCCTAAGCAGGGTGCTGAGCAGACTGAGCGGCTCTCCTTTCTGCAACCATTAAGGCTACCATAAGAAGGTTACAAAGAATTAATCGTACCATAGTTAAGACAATAGTTAAGATATTGTTCCATGTCATCGGCAAAGGGTATGAAGAGTGGAATTATGGCATAGTCAAGACAACAGTACAGATTGTACCATGTTCTTGTCGGCGTTGAATAAATGAATGCACGAGCGCAACCATATCATGTATTTTAGGACAGGAGATGTGTCTTTACTAAGGTATATGAGCCGTCGGGAAAAATCAAGTCTGGTTGCACATTCATTTTACAAAATGTGTTACACGGCTAAAACTTGTACTTTCGCATATGGCAACAACATAGACAAAAGAAACAAGAAATAAGATAGCCAAGAACAACACCACAATCCCTGGTAGGAGACAAACATCAGTATGCATCTTGATGGCACAGTAAACTGTACTCACATGATCTCTTACGAGGTATATACTAGGTGAATGTATGTGTATGTCATACAAATATATGCAGTCTGCAGACATAAAATAAAAATGCAAAGAGAATAATGATTACCCCCAGCAGCAACAAGTTTTTCTACACGAGCAACAATATGCTTTCCGTAAGTGTATTTCTTTAATGCATTCAAATGAACTTTAATTCGGGAAAGAATCAGTTCACGTTGCTGGTCGTCACAAGTCTCCAACACTTTTTGTACAACATAATTTGCAAATTGATCCTTCATCATTGCCTGCATATATCAGTTGCAAACAGGTTATGCAATATTGCCGACAATTACTAACATACACACATATGCACACAACTAATGACAATGTACTTGCAGTAGAATGGTAAGAAACCCAAAAAGGTTTAAGAACTAAATCTCAAATGGCAGTAACATATTTTAACCTTGCTTCCCAAAATTCAAGAGATTGAACCGAGGGCTGTGATGATAATGTATACACTTCTTAGGATTACACTTAACGGAGAAACAATGAGTCCATGACCTTATTTTCAACAGATTAAAGTACGTAATAAGCACATAGAGATATGACAAACCTGAAGAGGCTCATTTTCATCAGTAGTGCCAAGCATCTCATTCACTAGCAATTCACGTTCAGCAGGACCGCCAAAAGTTAAACACTTCTCTACTACATTGGAGGCGAACTTCTGCTGACTCATTTGGACTATCTTCCCAGCTAATTCTTTTATGATAGCAGAGCGCTCATGCGGTTTTCCATGCTCCAGGACATGCTGTTTACAAAAGAAATCAAGCAGAACACTGTTCAGAAGTATTAACTCAGCACCCAAACAAATCTTGTGTATAACAATAAAATATCAAAAACTAACAGTTAAAAAAGTTCAAGTGGTCTGCAAGCAGTTCAAAACTTGACTTAGTTCGCCTTGCTCAAGTTTTCCCATTAAAACAAGTTAAATACTCGTCCATAATAAGCATGAACAATTATCTTTTGAGCATGAGTAAAACTCAAGCTCAGCTCATATTCAAGAAAAGATTCTCTCTTTGAACTCAACTGAAAACTTGAGCTTCTTAAAAGAAGTTCAAGCTAGGCAAAGATTGTCTCGGTTCAATCTCCAACATCTCAATTTAACCGCAATAAAATAGTTACTCTTCATGCTCATGGCATAGCTGGATAAATGAACATCTAAAAGAAAAACTGCTAAAGCCAAAAAGGTTTCTAATGCTGTGGATTGCATGACAGATATGACTTAGCACCAATCATACGTACATGATAAAACAAGCCACTTTGGTTGTCATTCAAACTCAAAAAATTATGAAACAAATCAAAACATGTTGACAAAGAAAACAAAATGAAAATTTGTTGATGGCTTTGCAGCTATTTGTTCTATGAAACTATACTCCAAGAAATAGAGGAGTGTGACCGGACACATAAAAACAATAAACAGAACGGGTGATGACAGATGTGTACCAGAAGAAAATAAATCTTGTTACTAAGCTAACAATGACACGGTAATAGAACAAAAGGCTGAGAGGGAGTAGACATCAATATGTCAGGATTTAGCTCCATGGGTGGCACTAATGTTTAGACCAATGGTTAAACATTAACTTGAAAGCAATAAGTGAAGAACATCAGTATCCCACAAAACAACACAAGCTCATATCCCAAGGGAAAAAAACAAACGTTAGCAATATGAAGTCACAAATAAGAGTACATCAACAAGAAAGAGTATGGACCTGAACAACATAATTGCCATACTGATCTTGTGCCAACATGCTAACAGCTCCTAGAATCTCATCCATAACTTTACTCTGTGTATTCTCATCCTCGCAGTGCTCAAGAACTCTCTGCCAAATGACAGTAGTATCGCATATTACACATTAGTTCTTTGTTGAAAAGAAATTATCAGGTCAAAAAACAAAAACAAAGGGATGTATGAAGAATCTCAACCTGTATCACACGACACCCATATGGATGGGTTGAAAGGGTCACAACTTGATCAAAAAATGTTGAGATAATAAAATGAATGGCCTCTTCAGGGACACATTCAATACACTTCTGGATGACATGGTTCCCATTTTGATCACGTACGCAGCGCATTACATGACCGTCAAGTTCTTCAACCATTTTGATCTTTTGGTCCAGATCAACAACTTCTATTGCCTGAACACGATAATAGTACATTACTTCTAGCATGTACTGTAGCAAGCCTTGGATAAACACATGAATCTTAGTTACAAGCATTAACATCAATCAGATCATGAGCGTTGGCATGTAGTTATTATCAAGCCTCCCTTGCTGAACAAAAGCATAATAATGGAATTAATGGTTAAACATAACAGAAACAGTAGTTGTTTCTAGCGGTACTACCAAAACAAATGGTTGAACAATCAATCGTCAATATGTCAAAAGCTGAAGGACATAGATCCATACTTCGGAGAAAATCAGGCACAATCTAGTAGCAGAAATAAGTATTCCAGTCATAAAGTAGTGGTACCTTCTGGATCACCCGACAACCATACATTTGAAGGCTAAGTGTCAGTACATGACTAAACAGTTTGTTGGCCAATTCCCTTCTCTGAGATGGAAATCCGTGCTCAAAAAACTGAATAAAAACACCAATTATTACCACGAATTATACACTAACAAGTGCACAAAAGTTAAAGCATGCGTGCAAGGATCATGATCATTTACCTTTTGAATCACGTAATTACCAAACACATCAGTCATTAGAGCAAGAGCTTGAGGCATGATTTCTTGATAAACCATGTGTTTCTCTTCTATAGTGGCAGTTTCAAGTTTTTGTTGAATAAAACGGCTTCCATACTGATCCGCACTGCTCATAAAAATACAAAATTATCATAACCAACTTTATGATGAAATCATAAAGAGAGAGATGACAAGAAAAGTTATTAGCAGTTGATACCTGAACTCCACAACATGTCCGACGATTTCTGAAAGTTCAAAAGACTTGGCTTTGTTGCTCTTGAACTCTTCTAAGAG